AGTTTTAACCAAATGTTTTATAAGATAGTATAGATAGGACAACGATTGAAGTTTCCACATGGTTACACGTGCGGCAAGAAAAAAACAAATTTTAAGTGAGTTTCCACGTAAAAATTGTTTTTTTCTTTTTTATATTATTTATTCTATAAAACTGATTAAATGCATATATTTTAGTTATATTTGATAAATTAGCTGATAAACTAACTGTTGATTATTAAATTAAATTTTTAATTGATAAAATATATTTATCACTTACATATTTTATTAAATTAAATTTTTAACTGATAAACTAACTGTTGATTAAATAAGTTAAGTTTTTAACTGATGAATTATTCATGTTTGATGAAGATTAGTCGATTAAATAGATGATAAATATAAAATGAGCAAAAATGAATTATTTTTAATTATAATATTATATAATATAATTAAAACAAACCACTTACATATTTTATCGTATTACATTAAGTATTAATAAAAATAAATATTTAGATTTAAAAGATAATTCCAATATTCTATGCTATTTTTGTGATATTGTTACAAAATTTTCACCTCTCATGAAACGATCCTTATAAGGTAATGAAGGCGACAAACTTTCTAAAGTAATCATGTAACCAAATATGAATTTTAGACAATATCTCGTTTTGTTGAAGATTTTGAAAAATTTGTATGCACAGTTTGATTAAAAAATGTTTGTCAATCGTGAAAATATTATTTCGAGCAGCGTTTCAATTTTTTTTTTTACCTATAATTGATCAAACAGAGTTTTTTTAGTAATTTAAAATTTAGCTTAAATAGATCAACTAGTAGATTTTGTAACCGTTGTGAACAGAATAGTCTTGAAAAAAAAAAGTTTGTAGTAATGATGATGAAGCATTCCTCATTGAAGACTTGAAAAAAGGTTACAGGCCAATCAAATGAGACTGTCGTGCCGAAAGGGCTTCTTGTGTGATAAATAAGCAAGGAAGACTATCGAGAAAGGGACATTCAAACCTTCAAGGCGTGATGATAAAACGGGCCATGTCACGTAGGGAGGCTCGAGCCAGACTCAACTTGAAAGTTGGAAAGATAGTCACGTTTTTTTAGTACTCTTAGTGTATGGTTAATTTCTGTGAGGAAAAAATATTTCTCCAACTTTGGTTTGCAGGATTGTTATGGGGATTTGGGTTTGGAGGGATTTGAATTGGAATGATTTGAAATCATTGATGTGTTTGGTTTGTAGGACTTGAAATGGAAATCGATTTCCATTATTTATAAAAAAAATTATAAATAATTAAATTACATTTTTTATTAATCGTTTACTATAAACAAATGTTTTTGACACTTTTGAAAACATTATTTCATACAATTCTACGAAATTCCATGAAATTTGGAGGATCCCCTAAGGATTTCAATTAAATCCTAAGATTTCAAATCCGGATAATCCAACAAACCAAACATGAGATTGAAATGGATTTAAAATCCAAATACCCCAAAATCCATTTCATTCCTACAAGACAAACAGGATAGCAGTTTTCTGTATCAAAATTTACAATGAATGAATTATATTTCGACCATATTTTATAAACTTGGTGTGCATATTAAAAAATAGGCCATTAATAAGTACGGAATAAATTTTCAAAAAAAAAAAAATTGTATTGAATACAAGGAATTTTATTATATATATTTGAACACAAAATCAGTCAGTAATAGTTTCTAAATCAACATTATCTACCATATCTTTTTTAATACATTGCATGGTCGATCCATTCTACCATCAAAGGCATGATACGATACATATATCTTCCCATATTGACCGCATAATCTAAGTTATAATGTTAATCTTTTGGAGTAACACATTATGTGAAAATATAAATCTAATGGTTTTCTATATTACTCCATGTTAACATTTTTTTCTATCACCATTTTAAAACATTTTCAGGGTTAAAACAAGAAAAAAAAAAAATCAGAACAATCAATTTCAGAGTCAAAATCTCATGTCAGTTATATTTTGAGATCATATTCTTTCTTTTTGTAGATAGAAAATTAATTAAAATTCACGTATTCAATGTTAGGCAGTTAGAGATTTGGATCAATTAATAGATTTCTTAACATTTGTTAAAAGAATAACCGTAAAAAAGGAAAGTTTGTGATAATGATAATGAAGCATTCCTCATCGACGACTCGAGAAAAAGGTGTTACACGCCGATTAAAAACGAGACTGTCGTGTCAAAAGGGTTTTTCGTGTGATAAACAAGCAAGGAAGACCACCAAGAAGGGAGCACTCAAGCCTTCTAGGCGTGACTATAAAATAGGTCATGTCATGCTTGAGCCGGATTCAACTTGAAAAGTTGCAAAGATAATCATATTTTTTGTGGTAGTCTTTAACGTATAATTAATTTCAGTTAGAAAACAAAATCTATTTACGATTATAAGTAATTTAAAAATATTAAAAGTAAAGATTCATAGTAAAAAGAAATCAGGATCATTAATAACATTTTATAAGATCAAAATGTATGTCCTGAATAAGTACGAAAAAATCTCTTCAATAAATGGTTTTTATTGTCAAAAATAAAATTGAATACAAGAAATAGTAATAATTTATACAATATGATATCTTTGTACATTTTTATACATAAAATCAATCAATAATAGTTTATAATTAATAATATCGTTTATGCATTTCTCAGTACATCATACGATACATATACTTTCCAACATAGATTGGCACAATCAAGGTCATAATGTTGCTCTTCGGAGCAAACTCTGTGTGAAACAATATAAATCATTAGGTTTCTATCATACTCTATGTTGATGTTTTTCCTATTGGTTTTAACTTTTACGGTTAAGAAAAACTTTTTTGGAATCATGAATTTTCAAAGTTAAAAGCTTGTGCAGGCTATGATTTGAATCTGATTTATGTTTATTTATGGATAGGAGGGTATTTTAGATTCATATACTCAATGTTAGGTAACCGGCTCTAAAAAATGTATGAAAAGAAATGTGGTTCTTTTTCTCTTCAAGTAGGTAAAAATTTCCATAGTCTATGACAAGAAATCTACTTTGCTTTGATACAAAAAGAGTATCCATGTGGAGGAAGCAGTCGATAGAGTTAGTAGCAGATGGTTGATAGATAAAACTATCAGTGTTTTCAAGACAAACGATAATATGTGGGAATGTGAGAAAATATAATATAACCAACAAAAATATAATTGTGAACGAGGCCTACGATATTCAAACTCAAATAATGGCGGGTTGAACACTTGCATGGGACGACGTGGTATTGTGTTTGGTGTAATCTCAATACATGAGGAAGAAGTCGAGCGAGCAATGAATAAAAACATTTGAATTTCTTTTTTCTTCGTTTCTTGCTCTACAAAAATAAGATACTAATAATTAAAAAACTTATGAAACATGACAGAGTCAAAAGAATTGACAAAAATGCATGTAATAACAAACATCTATTTATCAATCATAAAACTATGTGTAGATCGTCGAATAACAATAACCGTAAACCAACAAGACAATATCAACTACATATTGTAAAAGCAGAAAGCAATAGCCAATAGAAGCAAGCAATTATGCAAATATCAACAAATAGCAATACTCGATAGAAGCAGTCAAACTAACAACTAAAACAAATAGAAATGGTCAAGGAAATTACAAGTAGATAAAAACAACCACCAAATCAGATGGCAATAGGCAATAGCAAACTCATAAACTCATTAACATCGAAGTTGCTGACGTTGGATTACTAAAGCATTGATATAATCAAGCACATAGAGATAGCAATAGACAATACGTTCGACTTTGTCCCATGCAAGTGCTCAACCAGTCATTATCTGCACTCACACATAAATGAAGGATCCTTTAGCTTTTTTTTAAAAAAATCACCAATTTGTACATACATTTTTGGGCCCAACCAGTTGAGAATGTTTCTCAAAATCTACGGGTACCATACGAGATTACCATGTGCGAGTGCAGCCGTTTGGGTTGGTTGGTGCAGACGATTTTAGTTCGTTGCAGAAGTCGGAGAAAAGATGAAAAAGTATCATTTTGAAACCACCAGTCTACCATTTCCCTCACCAAGGGTCCATTCCTAATAGCAGGTAGGGCAGGCAAATTCAATCGATTGTAAGCAAACTTATGTGTAGAAATTGGAGTTTGTTAAAATAAAAGCCATAAGCAGTGACATGCATGGAAATATATAAGTTTCAAACTTCCAACATAAAATTTTGTACATGTCAATCCACTGTTAATCCTTTTCTATTCACCCAACCCAACAAAAGAGTGATGGATGATCGGAGTTTCTCTTCTTCTTCCAAGAAACCATTCTACCAACTCCTCTTTCATTTCATTCTATGCTTTCTGGTGCTGTAACAACAACACAACGTTTATTACGCACTGTTTTGTAACCGCTCAATGCTAAAAGAAAGGAGTAAAAACGGATGTGAAAGAAGTACCTTCACTTGGAAGAGCAGTGTACATTCACAGCTCATATACTTCTTTCCTGTTATCATTCTTCAGTGGCAAAATACCTATTATCCAACACAATGGAACTGTTGGGACCAATGAGCTTCATGAAGCCCTCAAGACCGAGATTGATGATGAAATGGACCAAAAATTATATATATTCAAGATGCTGTATGCCCATCCCACCCAACCTCAGTAGGTTATGCCTGCACCCCTGCCAGCTCAGATGAAGTCTAGGGAAAGAAACCCCGACACCTATTGAGCACGTTCCATACCTCTGACAGGGTGCAGGCATCGCCCAAGCCCCTCACCGGGGCCGGGCTAATCCAAAACTTGCATCAGATTGCTGCTGCTGAGACTGCAAACAAACATGTCATTCAAGAAGCATTAGTTGAATAGAGAGTTCATGTAAACAACCAACACTAATCAATGAGATAAACTAATTGAAACCTTATTAAAGCAATCATGTCATGCCTTATAAAGATGATATATTGTCAAATGGAATCATTATTAGAAACAATCTTAACCGAAGATTTATTTTCGAACATTTGATGGAAAATACAACACACTTGGGCATTCTTCTCTGTGACCTCTGTTTTTCAAATTATAATTTCCACAACCAGTTTTGTAGAAATAACTACTTAAAAAGAGATGCGGTGCACAAAAGCTCCTTGGCTTTGCAAAGGTTGGGGAGATAAGTCGTTTCATGGAAACACCATGATCTTCCACTTACGGAATTTATTTGTAAAAATATATGAATTAGAACTTTTATTTATACCGACCATACAAGATGTGTGACAAATATTATTGTTGCAATTGTGACAGGAAGATAAAGCATCCACTATGCATTGTTAAAAAAGAGGTTTGCTCCATGATAAGCAAAAGAACTTCTAATCTAGCAATTTCACTCATACGACTAGGGCACATAGGGAATACCCAATTGAAAAAAACCTTTGGCCAACATGGCTATCTAACCTGTGCGTAGTGTTGGTGAACCTGTTCACGAGGATGAATAAATGTCATCCCAGGCCGCTGACAAGGATACTGCATATATAGCGTGGAGGCAGGATGGGGGGCAGCATGGTTGGGACTAAATGGAGTCATCATGGCATCTGGAGGCCTGTAACCAATTCCTGCAGGTGAAGATGGTGCAACCCATGGTGAAGGTAAATGCTGAGGGAGTCCATGAGATTGGTGTTCAGCAGAGATAGGAGACCTATGTGCTGAACCAAGCTGAGGAAATTCAGTATTGTAGTTCAAGACCGGTGTGTACATTGGCTGTATAGGATATGAGCCACCATTAAACCCAAAGCCTGGATCGAATCTTTGTGCATATCTGGAGAAACGCATACTATTACTGCTCACACTTAAGCTGCTTAACAATAAAATCTAATTCTTCAGGTATGTATCATCACAACAAAGTTAAAACAGCATTAAATGAGATCAACAAAATAACTAACACCAAGACAGGCCAATTATAGCTTTTTACACTCCAAATAGTTCTTTTTCAAAATGCAATAAAAACTCCATATTGTAGCCAAGCCACATCACACTTTGTAGATTATCAATCAAGTACAGTTTATCGCGCGTAGAAAGATCTACATGCAAATAAAAATTACAAACTCATGGTAACATGCTCAGCTATGTGAATTCAGAACAAAACACAAAAAAGATCGTATTGAACTCACTACCATAACATAAGTGACCTTTGTTAACATTCCTAATGAATGAAGAAGCAAGATAGAACATTCTTCTGATGGAAATAAGATGATGCAAAAACAGCAACCAAGAAGCAAAAATACAGGATATATATATATATATATATATATATATATATAAAAGACAACATCAACAAGTCATATTTACTATGCATGTTGTAAAAAATGCAAATGCGTCCACCCAAATCTTGCAAGTACAAAAAAGAAAGCAGTACTTGCTAACTGAAACATTGTCATTGAAGTCACAGTTAATGAATGATGCACAGGGAACTCCAGATGTCATAATATGATGCAACTATTTAATGATAAGAGAAGATCACCCATAGTCCAACTGTAAGTAAGCTCAAAGTAAATATGCAGACATAGAACATGCATCTACAATAGTTTGCAGAAACAAGATGCTAAAAACACTAGTGCATCCAACAAAAAATTGAGATGGGTATGCATGCAAAGAAAGATGATGAAAACCTGTCATAGTTCCTGTCATAATCAGGATCCTTTCGCTCAACTTCACGGTCACGAAAGATCGCCACTCTACTATTACTCCTTGACCTAACAATTGGCTCCTTCTCTGTCCTACTTCTACCTGGTCTACTGCTTCCTGCAGAGGAATCAACTGAAGCCCTGCCAATACTCACATCAACTCCTCCAGGAACAGAAACTTCTTCTATCTTTGAAGTCCCCAACGGACTATGCTGGATAACTTCCTGCATCCTTGGCTCACTCTCTTGTTTCCCACCAGGCACCCCACTAGAGCTGGAGCTGGAGCTAAATATTCTTGCACGTGCCCGATTATATTCTTCTTTTCTCTCCTCCACACTCTTTAAGCTATTGTTCTTCAGGGAATTTGAGTTTGCTCCACCACCGCCCTGTGATCGCTTATTAGGCCTCTGTTTGATTGCAACCTTAACAACACTGCTGCTAAGGTCCTCCGTTGGTATATTTACAGGGATATCCGCCAGACGAATTAGAGGAGGCCGGCATTCAGAAGTCTTACGAACAATGATCCGAGAACCAGAACCATCAGGAAGAGTATTGTCCAGTAAAACCATGGACTGCAGTGAATAATGCTGAGCCACACGATGTGCTGCTAACCGTAGATATGAAGTAGGCAACTGCTGGAACTCCATTTGTTGTTGTGAAGGATCTCTAATGAACTTCTCCACATCCTGCTCCATCCGTAGTACTGAATATAACATAATTAATATGCAGTTCTTTTATAAATCAATATAAAAAGCAACATACAACGAGCCGGAACAATTTACAAGAAATAGCAAAACTTGTTGCTTCACCCGACATAAGAATCCCTATTGCAGATGCCACAGAGATAAAAAACCAATCCATATTGAAAACTAGTTGATTACATCATAGCACGTCATTATTTGCATGTATACAATATAGAAGTGGAACCTTAAGGCTAAAATGGTGAGATCTTATAGCATTTCATGAATGGAGCTATTATCAATTAGCATGGTAATCTTTGTAATTGAGAAAAAGAAAGTCTGTGGGAAGGAAGCAACTTGTTTTGCTCTACAAAAGAACTGATATTGAGCAAAGATGGCAATTAAGACCTTCAATTTGATTTGTAAGAAAAATGCCTGTAAGATTTAAAAGTTGCAACCATATGTCCCACTTATTTGACTGAGCCAAAGTTCATAACCCCTAGTGATGGCCAACAGCCCACCACAGAAGGCCTGACGGATTCCAAGCAATCCGTTCATTAATGCAAAGCAAGGTGCTTCTACCCCTGGCAAGATGAATTGCATCCTATCACAGACTGTAGTTAGTCATAAGTCTTTATTGTTGCTCCATGGTTGCCAAAGACAAGAAGTGGGCTAATCCCACAATAGATTATAATATGCCCTAGCCCTAGCCCTAGGCAAGTGACAAGAGGTGATGACCAAAGCAAGTAAGGTGCAATTTTGTAAAACAGTGGAACTTTACACATTTGACGTGCATTTATGTAATTGCAAAACAAGTCACAATCTTAAGAAATCAACTAATCCATTGTTTCATCATCATCCTTGTAAACTGAACTTAAATTATGAACTATGTCTTCCTCTTCTGTCCCTGCTCATTTGGATATTTGAAGATGGATAAGAAACTTTTAGGTGTTTGCTTGGAAAGCAGTTCTCATGTATATTAGATTATTAGTGTATCTATTAACTTATCCGTACTACTTAAGTCCTTCAAACTAAATAAAAACCACTTTCATCACCTCAGCCTACCAACTTGTGACCCCATCACCTAGCCACAAGTGATCTCCAGATTGAAATAACTAGTCACATGCCTGACTTACATTGACAAAAATAAATCACTCATCACTGTTGTAAATCCTTCTTATAATCACCCGCCAACTAATAGGTCTGCTCACTCAGAGCACTACATGCACAAGTCTATTATAGTTAAATATAAAATTTCTTCTAACAATGCCAAATCCTTTTACTGTTTGAGTTGGTATAGTAGAAATTATGTCCCATACAACCAGCAAGTTAATTTGTATGCGAACGAGAATGTGTGAAATGAAAAAAACACAACTCCTTACAAAACCTCTCTAGCAAATATGTCGCCACTAAAACAATTAATCCAATAAGAGAACCATGCAAACAGCACATAAACCATCAATATAATTTTCTTAACATAAAAATTGGTTTTGTATAAGCAGGTTTAGAAGCACAATAACTGGATTCTAGAACCTTCATAGCTTCATGTCTTCTTTCTATCAGTTCTCAATGCTTCATTTATAGTCTATCAGTTTGGGACAAAACTTCCTTCATGTTGTAACTTGTAATAAGAAAAAAAAATAAGCAAAACCCAAGTATACACACGTTCAAATATTCATGTGTACACCAACAGCCATAAGCTTCAGGGGAAATAGCCAATATAGACACAAAAGCAGCATGGGATCTTCGCAACATATTACTATTACTTTATGAATATCAACAAGGGTAAACATCGCAATGATATGAATTTTGCAAATGTAAATTTTCCTTCCTCCTAACAGAGTAAGCATTGCAAGGATATAGATAAAAGCTACACTGAATACTGGTCGTAGAAGCTATACAGGACATTGGTGTAAGAGTCTGGATGAGACAATTTATACCAATTTCATTAGAAAACTATCACAGCCCAGCTAAAGTTCTGCAAAAACTTCCTGTGTGGCTCAAGCTAAGCATCTCATTACCACAATCACAAAGCCAAAGTGGTTAGCTAAAAGTCTATGCCTAGCAAGGTCAACAACACAAGTAAGCTTTTTGACATTTGAATTATGAAGCATTCATGATTCGGCATGATTTTTAAGTCAGCTAGCTCACACTCAACAATCAACACTGTCTACAAAATTTGCCTCGGCGCCTTCGTTTAATTTTGAGCTTAGTTTGAAATCATCATTCATTAAACACTTTGTTATATCTACCCACATGACAATATAATGACATAGAGGAGAGCAAACTGTTAAAAAAACTTGATTACAATTTACCAAGTGGGTGGAACACAACTCTCGTTTTCCTTTCTTTATTTACCGCTGCTCAAAAGGCATAATTTCAACTGGTACTTCTAAATGCATTTTGTAAAATTTCGACCACCATTCAGTTCGATTAAAACACGTCAACTGACCACACTCCTTCTCGCTGACGGTTGAACAGATTATACAACAATCATTAAGGGTTGGCCTAATCTTCACGCTAAGTTAATCGATCCAATTTAAGACCTACCAAAGCAACCTATCAAAATATCAAACGTTTTCCTTTTGTAATGTCCCAGTTGCAATCCCTTTTTATAACGACGACCTAAGACAGATGATATATGTACCCTTCAGAAAAACTACATAGAAACAATAAACATTTAAAAATTGTGCACACCTGAAAGGCGCTCCCTAGGGTTTTGCAAAGCTTCACGAAGAAACTGATCAACAGAATTTACCAAATTTTCCAACACACCGCCCGACGAAGACCTAACTGGGACTGAGGAAGCAGAAGCAAACTCCGAAGGCGAGGGAGGAGGAGAAGAAGTGGTAGCAGTAGTAGCAGTAGTAGCAGTAGTTAAATCGGAGTTGTTGTTATCCCTCTTGGAAGAGAGCATCAACCTGCTCATAGTGGCGTCTAAGTCGGCGACCTCCCATGAATCTGGTGGAGCTGGTCCAACTCCTCCGAGATCGTCTACTGAGCCCGCCATGGCGGCGGTGAGGGTGGTGGTAGAGGAGCGATTGATGATGATTCTAGGATTGACTGTAGGAGAAGTAATCATCAAAAAATTGACGCCGATGGTAGTGACCTCAGGTTCTTCAAGATCGGAGAAGAAACCCCAGATTTGAAGGTTTTGATCGATTTCATGAGAAGAACGACGGAGATGGAAAGATGAATCGAATAGAGAGAGAGAAAGAGACAGAGAAGATGATAGGGTTTGACGAGGGAAAGAGTGCGCCTTCGGTCGCACGTGTCGTATACTTCTCTTACATATCATGATGCTAATATGGAATTGCAGTTACACCCCTCCATTTATTATTATTGCATAAATGCCCCATTTTATTGCATAAGCATTTTTTAGTGTTTTGATAAACAGTTTATACAGATGTCAAACCGGTAATAAATTTTGTTTTGAAGAAGTTAAATCTTTTTAATTTATAATAAGTTGATAAACACTTTTGTAAAAAAACATAAGTTGTTTCGAATAAGCAATCCCAAACATCCCCTAATTGTATTAATAAAATATTTAATACATTTAATAAAATATTATTTATATTTCTTATACGTTAGACTTCAATAGCTTTAATTGGTTAGATACTAGTTGTATACCCGCGCAATGCGACGGGAGTCGTGAATTTAACGATTTTGAAGTTTCATTGGTTTTGTTAGAGAAGATTTAACGATGATATAAGTTACACTTGATCTTTACATATTAATACAATTTGAATAGATAAGAGTTATGGTTCCAATTACAGTCTATCGATTAAAAAAATTATATGACAGTTCAAAATCTAATATATTTAAAATCCAACATATTTAAATGACTGCACAAATGTGTTCGATTTACACCAAGAGCAAATAATCAAGAGTTCGAGAGTGAGACCGATAGTTCTAGAGCAATTGAATGAGATATGAATAAGAGAATTTTTAATAACATATGGTGAATATCAGTTTGAATCTCACATTTGGAAATGGTGATAAGATATGGAGGTGTGAGAGGGTGAAGACATGAGTGAAATGTGTCAAAAGTATATTGGAAACATGAAAAGAACATGTAATAATATGCATTGGTAACTTGTACTATATGTTATTTTAATCGTAGATTAAGAGATTTTAAGATTGAATGCATAAAGTAGTAGTACTTAATGCATTGTGAGTTATTTTTACGACTTTTTAAGACTCTGTGCATAAATGTATAGTACTTTGTGCATTAAAAATTATTTTCAAGACTTTTGATAAATATGGTTTATAAGGTAGTATAGATATTATTTATTAAAATATTATTTACTCTTTCTTGTATAGAGTTTTAAAGATTTATCTAAATTTAGAGATTTTCACAATATTTTTTTTATTTTCTCTATTTTAGCATAGATGATAACATACATGTTGGAGCAACAAAAATGTTAAAATATTTTTTTTTTTCAAAATAATTGTTGGAGATGCTCTTACTATGTATTATGCATATGCATGCTCGACAGACTAGACAAGTACAAATGAGGTAGGCGGATAAAAAAACCTCCATAAATTTTTAAGGGTTTAATTTGATATTACCCTTCGATAATTTATTAGTTTTGTCTCGCATTCATAATTTTTGTTCCACCTATTTTTGTATTCGTCCTTGTTTCACTCTCAATATCACATTGTCTCAGTTTAGATGTCACGCCAAGGGTTTGGTAAGTGACATGACAAAATAAAAAATTAATGTGTAAGAAATGTCTACTTGACACTTACAGACAAAATTCATTAATTACCTTGTCATATAACATTCTCAATCATCAAAATAAATTATTGGTAAGCGTCTTAAATTTGGTAAATATTCATCGGATAAGATTTCTCTGCACCCCTATCCTCTTTATCACTTATCGCACATGAATTATCATTTTAGTCAGAGTTTACATAAATGCGCGACGTAGACTCGATTTTATCTAAGAAATAGGTTTTATACAAATACGTTGTTATAAAGATCGGCTATTTAGGAATTTCTTTTAAAAATTACCGGTTTCGGTCCTAAAAAATAACCGTAGATTTTTCTAGTTGTTTTCTAAGATTAGTGAAATTAATGGAGGTATCTAGAACTTTGGGTCGATTTCCAACTTGGCCGAGGCCATAAAAAGGAGGAAGGACAAAATGGGAATAAACAAAGATTCCGCTAAAAATGTCGCAATACGCCACCGCCATTGCAGCTTCATAAACAACCGCGCAGAAAGAAAATCTATTTATGAAATCAATTGTTCAACGATAATTTCTTCTTAGATTGAAAGATCAATACGAAGGAATTTTCGCGGTCGTGATGAGGGGTTTGCCCAGACTGATAGCAGGGCAACGAGCCCATCTTTGCCGGAGATTGAAACCCTACGTTGATACCGGTGCTGCACGGCATGCTTCTCGCCGTCTGTTATCCATTTCTTCTTCGAATAATGTTTTCTCTCATTTCACATCATCGACTTCAAGACCAGTTGTCCCATCTTCGTATGCGTCATCTGGTTTAGTCAATTTCGCAGGTTAGTTTATCCCAATTTACGTTTATGCTGAATTATATGTGAATGACATTCTCTTATATATTAATGTTGTAAATTGATTTTTATGATCTCATTCTTCCTGTTTTTTTCCTCTTACTTATTGATGTTCAGATTTTTTAATATGATATTGTCCTTTCTCTCTGGCAACTAGGAGACATGAGCTAGAATTCAAAATGAAGTTAAATTCAGTTACCCTATCTCAAAATGATTGAGCTTTATCCCAATAAGTAAAAACTAAAAGGAGATTTTTTTATCATTGGGTGCCATAAATTACTTAAAATCACTGGTACTTGTCCACCAAAAAGAAAACTTGCTTCTGAATGTATTTTCCCAACTTGAGTAATGCATCATGTATTTGACTAAAGTACCTTTTGAATGATTCTCTCCTATTTATAGTAGATGATTATGATAAAGAAGTTTAAGTTAAGATAAATAACTGTGTTGGAGTTTATATCAAGCTTATAAGAAAAGAAGAACTAGAATTACACAATTAGGATTTAGTTGTTTTGAAGTTTAAAACATATAGTTATGATATAGTTATATTCTAAGAATTTTGCTGTGTGATTATATACACCATTGTTATTGAAGAATTCACTGTTGAAGTCTTGCTTGTTGAAATGATAAGGAAACTTCATAAGCCATACTGCGGAAACTTCTAATGAAGTTTAGTCTGTATTGTAATCATCTTTCGCCAGCATGAAGCATATATGGCTCGAGATCATAATAAACTTTATAAACATGTGATGACTTTTGAGAGAAGGATAAAGAAGGCTTGTGTAAGAACAAAAACAACTGAATCACACTGCAAAGATGTCAATCAGCTACTGGTATAAACGAATTCACCAAGGAAACAGTGTGCTCTTAGATCTCAAGTTTATTAAACGATCCACATTCTATCTTGTATTTACCTGTAGTCTTGTACAGCTAATCTCCTGTTTTCAAACATGAAATTGTCATGGATTTGAAGTGTTTTTCACTGTAGAGGCAATCCTTCATACCTGGTTCACAGGAAGGGAATAGGCTCCTTAAATTACAGGCTTACGAGTGAATTAGATGCTGGAAATTGGTATCAATAGAAGATACTTAGTTGTAGCATACCATGTTGTCTTTGGGATCATGAGCGGAGTATGCCAACACACTTGTTCAGCTCTAGGTGCTGCTGCTCTTTAACTTCATACTAACATTACTGGACATTGTCATTATTATTATACCATCTTCGTCTCAAGGATTAGCTATACAAGAAGAATTGGATTAGAGAAAACATCATAAGACAGGAAGGGAGTTTGGGGGAATGCACAAGGACTAGCAATACAATAAGAATTGGATAGGGGACAAGACGTCATAAGAGGAGAAGGGGATTTGGGGGAACGGGAGAAGAAATCAAACCATGCCTTGATAGAAGTCATAAAGCTTCCAGAACCCACATGTAGTAGACAACATTAAGCAAATCTTTCATCTAGATTAAGACAGATGTCCTTCATAAATGATTCTCTACAGGTTATGAGGCTAGGGTCCACTCTGGTAGATGTTCTTGTGTCGAGATAGGTCATTAATGAGAATTTGCTTATTGCTAATGGAAGATGGATGTTTCATAGAAAGTAGCAAGTATAGCACATGGAAGAAGACGACAGATTTCTAAGTTCACCAATGTAACTTCGCAATCCAAGATGTCATGCTACAAATTTTTGACCAATGGGGATAATTACTTTGGCAACTGCTTTTATAATTTCATAATTTGAGTGCAAAGACAAGAAGGAATACTTTGAAGGCATGCAGTATTAGTGTATTTGCAGTGACTATTGAAAACATGATGTATCTTTATCTCGTCATATTTAAATGTTTTTTACTTTTGTTGATAGCTGTTTTTAGGATTTGATGGATGGGTTAGGTATTGATCACAGCTTCAGCTTTGATACAGAGCTTCATGTAATAAATGCAAATAACGGAAAATACTTTATAGTTGGGGGAGAGTTTTACTCTATGCACTGAGAAGAACTATCTGAAAATAATCCATTTTTCCATTTGAACCTCAAACAAGTAGGAATTTGTTGATGATTACAGCAGTTCATGGTAAATCATGCTGGATAATTGGTTCCAGGTGCTTTGTTGCAACTTTGAACACTGGTATAAGGAGTATATTGATGTGTAAAGTTGTTCACAGTAGATAAGTGAACAATAAGCTAGGTAAATCTAAACGTCCTTGAATAAGGTCCGTCTAAGTATCAATCTACAGTACTGATTGGTTTAAGTTTATGTGACATCATTGCTGACAAAAAAGTTTTGAGACCGGTGATGCATTTTCTTGTTACAAGCAGATCTTTTTGAAGTTGAAGACTTTTGGTAGAATCTAAAAGATAGGACTCTATGGCTAGGTCAGGAGAAAGCACAGATTAGGCTTTCAAAGTGATTAACTCATGCCTTGGTGTGCATGATAAAAAATTAGCCAACCACTTGCCAGGGATGAAAAGGAAAAAAAGATAATTTTCTTAATTACAGATCATTAAATGACCAAGGAGAATAGTAAGGAAGATATTGTAGACATGTTGGGTGAGTCTCCAAGAACCACAGGAACATGGAAAGAGTTGTTACCATTATATCATACTGGTATCAGGAATCCTTTCAGATTATCCTTCTAGTTAGGTTGTTAAACATTGGAACTGTTATCCCCTTGGTTGAATAGTCATTAAGGGGAAAAGAGGAACACTCCCTTCAAAAAGTGGTTTAGTGGGGGTTTCTCCAAACCATAATTATTACAACTATATTGTTTTGTATGTTTAAATTTTTTTGTGGGCATTTTATTAAAGTGTTAAGATGTCCCTTCTGTCTGTGAGTGTAATTCTGATAAGCCTACTATTTGATATGGAATCTATGTATTATCTTGTTACATGGTTTTACCATGCAGTAATAATTTGCTTTTGCTATGTAAGCACATATAGTCTTTCAAATGGGTATGTTCTGACATTAATTTGGACAGGGCAGAGGAGGACCATGTTTATCCAAACACAATCTACTCCTAATCCTTTATCATTGATGTTTTATCCTGGGAAGCCAGTGATGGAGGTTGGGAGCGCAGACTTCCCAAATGCCCGTACGGCTATGAATTCCCCATTGGCGAAGGCCCTCTATGGAATTGATGGTGAGATTAACTATGTGTTATGTTGTTGCTTACCTTCATGGCTGAAGGTTTTGTATAACCGTGGCATAACTTAATGACAATCAGTTGTAATGTTTTGTTCTATTACTTAGATTCACTTTTACTTTGTCCTTTTTATATGCCAAGCTCGTAAGATATAAGGCATATGTGTCGATTTGTTTTCTTATTTTAAATTTTTTCTTCTTCAGTTTCTGAATTTTCTCCAGGAACTACAAACTTTTTAAAGTTCACCTAATTCATATGAAAATTTGAAAATCATAAAGCAAGAAATGGTGAATGGATTGACCCTAGGATTCTTCCAAATATTTCCCATTTCACATTTGTTTCTTTGTATTCCATCCCCAGTGTTATCTTGGATTAGCTGGCACTTCTTATTTGTTATGCTCGATTGCACCCTATATTCTTGAACATATTATGGCTGGTATGCAATAGTTACTTAGGTGGATCCAGGAGTACAGACATTATAACGAGTCTCTACATTCTGAGATAATTTTGAACTACATAGCCGAAAATCAAAGTTTATCAGAAGCTTGGTCTAAAATTCCCGAAAAATTAGCAATATATATATATATGTGTGTGTGTGTGTGTGTGTGTGGGTTGGTAAGAATCTCAACTCCAGAGAACACACTTTTGCAGTGTAAAAATTTGTTCTGCATTTATTCTTGTATGTCCTACTCCTACGGATGGTTTTCCTTGGACACAATCTTTACAGGGTCCTGTGTGGGATGACATGGCGTTTATAAAAGGATGGTGATAACTAGTAAAGCTCTATCTGAATAATTATTTTCTCAAATAATTACTACTAGTGTTTTCTTACCTGAGTGAATTAAGGAACGGATAAAGTGACTTGTTTATTTGAAACGAACAGCAACTTGCTGCAAGAATGCACCGGTGCTTTTTTAACATTATCTGCACATGGTTTTCATATAACAATTGCCAGAGTCGACGTTTGACCCAAGATGCAAATAGCTTAGCTGATAAGTATGCTCAGCTTAAGGCTTGGTACACTCTGGAGAAAGGGCTATTAATCAAACAGATTTAACATGTAAATCACAACTTAAGTTGGACTATTCTAACTGGTATGCTAATACATATATTATCTTCATATATGCTATGGCTCTAACTTGTAAGTAGATCCACCTTAACCGAATTAGATGAAGTGTTTGTTGATTAGAGGAATATTATCAATTGGTTGAATTAACATGCTCTGCTGTTGTGCAGGAATTACTCGTGTTTTCTATGGTTCAGATTTTGTAACTGTAACAAAGTCAGAAGATGCTTCCTGGGACTTCCTAAAACCTGAAATATTTGCTGCAATTATGGACTTCTACTCATCTGGGAATCCCCTATTTCTGGACTCGGCGACTGCAGCTTCCAAGGATACAGCTATTCATGAAGTAATTAAACTTCCTCTTTTCTAATCTCACCTTAGATGTTTCTTTCCCCAGTTCTTGTGAATATTGATCAGAATAGTGATAAGCATCCTAGCATCTTTGCTTTATGTGTCCCTTAGTGAATTGTTMGTACATGCATCAATCAATTCTAATATAGGCATTAATATCATGGAAAATCGAGGAACCTAGACCGTTACTTTCTAGTTGTGTTTGTTTCTGTCTGACAATCTTGCCCTTGAAATCATTAGTTTCACCACTTTGTTTCTCAAAAGCCAGAGCTCTGCCTTCCTGCTTTGTTTGCAATAAGGCTAATGCATAGACAATAGGATCTTTTGGCTCATTACCAGCTTGGAAGTTCACTTTGAAAACTAGCACCTTGAAACAAGCTAAAAAGCTACATTAGTTCAAATCAACCAACGGATTGATTAGGGTTATTTATTTCTGGTTAAGCAAGGAAAAGGTGGAAACCTTTTTGGGAGCAAGGGTTGAGGTCATATTATAGCCTCAAGTTTTCTCTCATTTCTTTCTGGTGATGGCCACATATAGTGTCATTATGGTCTGTTACTATTTCTTCTTCCCGCTTGAGATAGACTTGCAGATTTGAAATATTGAGCAATTATGGTGCAAAAACATGCAATAGAGGTCATGGAAGCAAATTCTTTTTTCTCAGTATAGATCGCCATATGGTGATTGAGGTAGAGATAGGAGTATCATGTAGCAACTAGCAGGTAGTAGGCACCTTCAGTATAGTTGAGTAACTTATGTTAAATTGCTCCATACAGTTGTCACTGAGACTTGAGAGGCTTCGTTTGGAGACTGGGTAAGGTTATTACTGGAGTTTGGATGTAGGGAATGACAGATCTGTTCTTCAAGAACATATACTCACCTCCTCCTCCTTGCTTCTAGGAGCACCATTGAGTTGGTGATATAGATGCTATATTAGATCACTCACCAGCAGACGTTGCAGTTTGATGTATATGTAACTCTACCATGCTTATATTGGTCTCTTTGATGATAGATTATACATTCTTTATGCATTTTTTTTACCCAGCTAAAGTGATAATCAGTTGATTCTAGACTTACGCTCGTTTTTTTCTTCATAATTGGCTGTTCATATATACTTATACTTTACAAATATTTTCTGAACTGACCATTCTCATTCCCTTTTAACCTCTTTGGTGTTTCATGGCATTGATCAAAAGCTGTTAAAGGCTCAAGGGACACTTAGGCGCAAAGGGGTCTCGGGGCCTAGCGCGAGGCGCGGGCCTAAGGAATGCAAGGCGCGGGCCTAAGGAATGCAAGGCGCATCTTATTAGTATATGTATACACACAAAGTTATGCACAACTCAAATATGCAGCAAGTACAAGCCTCCAATGCATCAACCAATAGTACTCGGATAGAGGCAGAAGGGTTTAAAGCGTGAGCCGTGAAGGAGAAGTTTTTAAGTCTAGGTATTTATTGAGAAGGGGGCTTGAAGTTCTAAGGACTGGGTATTTGATATTAGGGTTCGGCTTATGCCATCTATTTAATAACACTTTTTAAAGAAGTCTAGGAGACGAGAAGATGAGAAACTTATTTAATCTTAGGGTTTAACTAGGTATTTAGTAACTCTTTATGAGGCGCACCTAGGCCCACAAGGCGCCTCAGCCAAAGCGCCGTGCCTTATTGAGCCTCGTGAATATGCCGAGCCTCGACTTGTAAAAAGTCCGAGACCTTGAGCCTTATGAGCCTAAGAGCATAGCTACGCTTTAGTGTGCTTTTAACAACTTCGATCTTTGGACTATGTATCATTAATGAAGCATTCCGAATGTGGCCTGTGATCGTCTAGTAATGTTTGCAAGGTAGTTCCTTATTGAGGGTGGGGTTGTATCAACTAAGATCGATCATAGGTGGAGGTTGTCAATTACTCAATTTTGCTCGTCTTATTTTCCTTTGTTTCTTGATTGTCTTCACTTTAGTTTGTGAGCCATCCCGGTGCTGTTCGTTCTTTATGTGTCTTCTCGTTCCCTCCTTGTTTCTACTAGTGTGCATCGCCTCTCTCATGAGCTGTTCATGTTGATTGGTCTAATTAAAATCTATTAACTTCTACATAAATATTTTGTTGATTTTGCTGGCATACACTTTACTATCTTTAGTCATAAATTTTTTGTTGATTTTATTGGTATCCACCTTACCATCTTTTGTCGTCCATCTTGTTACTAAGTCTGTTTTCATCCATTGAATGTTGGAGCAATGAGATAACTAGTTAAGTCATTTGATGGTTTTCCATCTTCTGTAGATGACTATTGCATGCATAAAAACAGAGTAGGCGACGTCCATTTTGATAATAAACTATAAACATTACAAATTTGTTCTCCTTGTGTAGATAAAGGTGTAGTAATGTGTACTCACTTAAATTAGTGAAAATTGTGAAGTGTAATAGCAATACTAGCATAGTGAAGGCATAAGCATATGAAGATTTGCCAGTGGGCAACATAAAGAAAAGGGAAAAAAATGAAAAAAGAGAAGGAAAAATGTATTGCAAATTAATTCAAGATGTACAATATCAGCTTTATCTTCTACAGATCATGCCTGCCCATTTTATCAAATTAACTTTGATTATAATTGATCAAATTTGATTTTAGGGATCAGCAAACCACCTGAAATTAAATGTATTACTGGTAGTGCTACATCTTATAAGAAGCTAGAAGGTCCTAAGTAGATAATTATCTGATTGATGCTTGATTCATGCTATAGGGACAGTTTAGAAGCAACCACCATTTGGTTATTGTTCTTCGTGTAAAATGCTGGGCTATGTGCTGATGGCTAGAGGTTCTCAATTTTTTGTAGAACGAGTTTTGGTGGTGAATGAGCATGAACCTTTGTAGCTATTACATGACTATGTAAACTGTATGCATGTATTGTGCTGTTTGCTAATTGCAAGGATATATATAGGGTTGGGTTTCGGTGAGAATGGGAGTTGCGGTGAGAAGGGTATCTCCACCCTTGGATCAATCCTAATTGAAGATCAACACTAATGAGATGCACCAGATCAATTCCCGTATCATGGGATGGGGTGGGGTGGGGTGGGGGGTGGGGAGATTAAAAGTGATCAACGGTCCATATCCCTTCTTATGCTTCTCACCTTAACTCCTATTATCACACGATCCTTCCTCTCTCTCTATATATATGTGTGTGTGTGTGTGTGTAGAAACAAAACCCCCAAGGTATTGCCAAATGATCGTTAGTGTTTGAAACAAGTGTGAGATCCCAACTTCGGATCGCTTTTCATGCCGTGTTGGAGACACAATCAGACCGCTAATCAATAAAAAAAAATCTCTAAGAAAAAAAGAAAAGAAGCAAAACCACAAGCTTTCTCAGTAAATTAGAGTAGCTAAACTCTTTTAGCTTGTTCAATAATCATCTTACATGTATATTGACTCTTTACAGTTATCAGTCCTATGTCATGATGTTTCCCCGTGTTGCAGGATGACTCTGAAATTGTTGCAATGATCAAAGAACTGTTGGAAACTCGTATACGACCTGCTGTGCAGGATGACGGTGGGGATATCGAGTACATTGGATTTGATCCGTATGCTTCCACCATCTGACTATATGTATACGGATGCATAGATTGAGATCCATTAAAACCTATCTAAAATTTTCACCTGTCATTGTCAGAGAATCTGGAGTTGTCAAGCTAAAAATGCAAGGAGCATGTAGTGGCTGCCCCAGCTCATCTGTCACTCTGAAATCAGGCATCGAAAATATGCTGATGCATTATGTACCCGAGGTCACATTCATTGAACTCCGCTGCCCATTTATTCTTCAGTTATTGACTTATTATCCTCTGCCATTATGCATTGCAACTTCTAACATATACGGCATATACCACTCTTAGGGCCTGTTTGGTTGGTTTTTCATCGAGTCCTGTATGGATAAAGGCATAAAGCTGTCTGTGGATTAATCTGTCCATAAAGATTGGGAGGGTTTTTGTTTGGAAGGTTTTCCCATTGAGGAATGAGCGTTTCTTTTAACTGAGGAGCAGGTTTGGAAAAACTTTGCTTTCTACATAAAGCTCCCCCTAAAAGCTTGCTAAATAAGCCACTTTCTATATCATTAAGCCACTACCAAACAGTCATGTATAATCGACCTAATAAACTCCGAGTCCCATTAAGTTCATTAAGCTGCTAGCAAACTGGCTCTTAAAATCTTATATGAACTTAATATGCACCAAACATACAGATATCGAGTTGATCTAGTCTTTTCTTTCATGCACTTGGATCCCATTCTTTTCTGGAGTTTGGTCTTGATTAGTTGATCTCGCTTGTTTTCCAGGTTAAAGCTGTGGAACAGGAACTTGATCTTGAAGATGAAAATGGAGAATTAACAAGCCAACTGGACTGAGGTAACCCTGGTTCTTTCTTCTCAGAATGAGACAAAACAGTGATAAAGAATCGTAGAGAATTTGGTATCAAGTTATTTACAACCGGTTTTTGTTACGATTTGTATGTATTGGTCATTAGCCACAGTTTCTTATAAATTGTAGCCAGGCATGTTCTCTTTTGGACCATAAGACTATGAAATAATCCTTTCGCACCCAGAAGCAAATTAAGGTCCCTTTTGTTGGTTAATAGACCTTTTGGTGTGCTCGAATAACACCCGATTTGGGTCCTCGAGGATGTTGAAACACTTGATAACCAATTCCCAAGATTGATAGTCATGTCAAATTAAAACTCATAAACTTCTCACAATTTCTTAATCAGTCCAGTTTTGTCAGCGTACTAAACGGACCCTCGTACTCGGACCTAGGAGACATGGCCTGGGTCCATGGGTTTAGAACACAGTGTTGGTTACTTGTGGGGAATTGTTGTCACATGGTTAAATTATTTGTTTGGATTTGTCGTTTTGCACGTATCGTTACATTCAACTTTATCGTACTATGGTCGCTTTATTGAACAACATGTTGTATTGTGGTGGAGGGAATATATATTTACGAGATAAAAGTGAAATGAAATGAATGTTATGTTGAAAATGATGGATGCTTTTTAGGGGTTGAAAAGTCACCATAATTTATTTTGGGACCTTTTGTACTTGTAATGTATTGTACATCTTTCTTTTAGGGAGGCTTTTTGAGTTAAATTCGTTACACAAATATCTAAATTATTGAATGTTTAATGTTTGTAGTTTCAGATAAAATTGAAGAATAATAATAAATCTCGGAGAAGTTGTCATAGAAAATCATCTAAATTCTTCGATATACTTTTCCGCATGTTTGTTTAAAAAGCGTATCATTATGTATCGGGATTTTACTTGGGGGAAGTAGGCTGAAGACGGTTGTCGAAAAGATGACAATTAATGTGAAAGCGGAATATTAGGACGGGATGAAGAAAATTTTCTTATCAATGTCCTGAACAAGATCATGTGCATTGTGTTTGAGTGAGTAAATGTACGCTGCAACTTTTGAAATATATAATCCTCGATGTTTTTTTTGAAGTATATAATATTTATATACGTTAAATGTAATAAATAAATTTACACACCCTTCTCATTTTTGATAAGGTTTGAACTTCTGACCTTCTAGGAGGTCAGAGACTACGATACAAAGACTATTTGGTTGGTTAGTGTTGCATTGAAGTTGATCAGTATTTCTAATAATTGTTTTCAGTTGAATTCCTCTAATCCATGACATAAATTACATTAGGGTTTTGAAATCGAATTTCGTGGAGCGATTCAATTGATTATAAACAATCAAGATCAAAAGTAAAATTATTAAAATTTATTGTATTTACAACCAAAAATTATGTAATTTATTTTAATTGAACAAATTTCTCCCAACTCCCCACCAACGCATTTTTATTGTAAAATGGAGTTTGATTTTATTAGAGTCTAAAAGTTAGAGATGTTATAATAAAAAATTTGGTGATTTTTGAAAGTTATGTTATATTATTCAGGAAAATTACCATTTTAAATTGGATACATTTTTAATCTAAATTTGTTTATTTTTTATTTATTTAATTTATAATTTTTTTATCCAGTTTTCTATACCTTTTTTCTAGATCACTTTTGATGATAGAAAATCACATTTTTCATCAAATATCCGATCTGATATCTATGATCAATTCATATGTGATAGTTATAAATTTTTTTTTAGTTGTGTGTGATAATTGTAGATATATTTTTTTAATCATGTATGATTATCGATATTTACATTATTATAGATCCTTTTGCAATGAAAATATTATTATATGTGATAAACATCATTTATATTTAGACATATATTATTATATGTGATATGTATAATAATTCACATAATGAGTCATATATGATACGTAATAGATCATATTTAAATCAAACTAATCACATGTGATTCAAACATGGATCCAAAAAATAGATCAAACTGGTAAAAAGATAATGAATTATTGTGAACATGCGATATTTGATACAAATTGTGATTTTTTTTAATCAAAAGTGTATCTACTAACAAAATTATGTAAAACATGATAAAAAAAATATGAATTAATTAAAATTAAAAGTTTTTAAGAGTTTTTAAGAGTTTTAGTCAAATGTTTTATAAGATAATATAGATATATGTAATAAGAATCATGTAGGTTGTTATATGTCAACAACACGTATCATACAGAGATACCGTCGAGGAACATGTAAACCTATAGGGTGACACACAAAGAATATGTTGTACTTCCATTTGAAAAAACCCATATTACATCAATTTGATTATTGATATAATTATTCTTGAAGGATAATTACAAAAAAATATATGTTAAAATGTAATTATGATGATTATAGGGTGTTATATGTAAATATGTATAATTATATTAAACTTTTAGATTATATATATATAGTTGAAGGTTCAAACGAAAATCTCTGTGATTTACGAGAACAACCTAATAACTTTAATATTTTTTAATTAATAAATTAACTTATATTAAATATAAATAAATTAATAAAGACAATAATATAATTAAATAATTTTTATTTTATTTTAATTGATTATAGTTATCCCTTTAAGTTATATAATTAAAAGGGTTAGACCAAATCAATTCCAACTAATTGAATCTTTTAGAATTTAATTTTTTAGAAATTATACAAAAAAGAAACTTTTTTTCCCTATAAAATACATATAAATCTAGAGTTCTTAGACTAGCATCGGGTGGAAGATGTAAACATGTTCGCGTGTGGATCATCGATCGTGTAATTCTATTTTGGATTCTAAGTGCTACATCAAATATACACCATAATCATAAAAAAGTATAATTCCAAACAACCTATAATATTATTGAGTTTCAAATTTAAAAATAGTTTTCTAATATATTTTATAATAATTTTCCGTTGCGTTAAAACACAACAAATCAAATAATTTTATTGATTTGTCAAATAAAATGTTATAAAACGAGAATTTTTAATTCACGATTTAAAATACTAATAAGAAGGTTTATTCACGTACAAGACTTTAAAATTAAGAATTTTAATTTTAATTTTAATTTTAATTTTAATTTTATAATATATAAAATATTGATAATATAATTAAGATAATAGTATTAATTTGTTAATTAAATATTGAAAAAAAAGGAGTTGGTAGAAGTCAAATAAGGCATTCATACCATTTCTAGGAATCTTCCCATAACCACGTATCCCAACCCCACCTCCACCGTTTATTCCTTCTTTTCTTTTGCACATTTCCACAAACACCTTCACCTTCACCTTCATCTTCACCGTCGCCATTCTATATTTTCCTTCCCCATTCTTCCACCTCCCCCATAATACGATCATCCGGGTTCACCCTAATTGCAACGATATTCTGGTGGCTTCTTCTTCTTTCAATTCTCCCTCTAAATCATATATCTCTTATTCGTTTTGGATTTTGATTTGATTTTGTGTTTCCTTTACCATAGGTTCTGCTAATCTCCTGTGATTGAGCGATTGATTTGAATTTTCAATCGATCGCTCACGGTACCTTCTCGGATCGTTTTTGGCCCAATACTTTGATCGGAAACAAGAAAATGGCCGAGGAACAGAATTGGCAAGAAACGAGCAATCACACGCTGTGTGCGAATAACTGCGGGTTCTTTGGGAGTCCCACCACGCTCAATCTCTGTTCCAAATGCTACAAAGATCATTGCCTAAAGGAACAACAGATGTCAAAGGCCAAGACCGCCGTCGAGAAGAGCCTATCTCAGCCGCCACAGCAACCGGAAACATATTCTTCTTCTTCTTCCTTCCCAGTCACATCACCTTCTTCCGTTTCCTCCGATCAGTTGACTGTCGCCAAGACGGTCTCTGATCCGGTCGTAAACCCGCAGACGCGGAACAGGTGCGGGTCATGCAGGCGGCGCGTGGGTCTCACGGGGTTCACGTGCCGCTGTGGAACGACGTTCTGCGGTACCCACAGGTACCCGGAGCAGCATGGGTGCACCTTCGATTTCAAGACGATGGGGAAGGAAGCCATCGCGAAGGCGAATCCGGTGGTGAAGGCTGCAAAACTGGAGAAGATCTGAGATGATCACAGCCGTTGGTTTGTTATTGATCGTACGGCCTGGGTACAGGGTGGGAGATTGGGGGAATTTAGTCCGTTTAATCGAAGTTTATTCGGGCCGGGTCTTAAAAATATAAAAAGGATATGAAAAAAAACCCTCTCATTATTTATTGTGTAGTTTTTATTTCTTATTTATCTAAAATCTAAAGAAAATCAAATTTGTGTTTTATATCCCCATAATATATATATATATATATATATATATATATAATCCTTAATAAATAAAGGATAAATGTATAGTAATTCTTCTTCTATGTTATGGTTAATCTATTAGATTTGGGATCATTGAAGGACCAAGGTTTTTTTTTAGACTTATAAGATCAATTTTCAACTCTTGGATTAGATCTACAATTTGAACATTCATAATCATAAAATTGTCACGAAATTTCTTAATAATCATAAAATTATGACTGTTGTCACGAAATTTCTTAATAATCATAAAATTATGACTGTACAACGTTAAATCATTAGATTATTAGCTTATAAAGTTGATCAATGAACATAAATTTATTTTACGAATCTTACGAAAAACTCTTGATTTCGCGTGAATCTAATCCTAATCTATTAAACGTATTAAATAAATACTAAAAGTAAAGAAATTAAAATTGATAGATATAAATAATTGGTGGGGCATGAAGTTGTGGTATTTATTGGGCGGCTTTGTCTTTTTGTTCTTTACACAATGTATCCTATGACTATGACTACGAGGCGTCCTTTTCTATTTAGACTTTGTCTTTGCAGGATGGATTACGTTTTACTTTCTTGACCATCTTTTTCTTATATTATTGTTCTTTTTCTTAATTTATCTATTATCTATATTATATTACGAAATATTTGATAAAAACTCTTAAAAATTATTTTTTATGCATAAAGTATTATTTAGTGATGTATATTACTTAAAATTTAAAATTACAAATAAGTTGTACGTAAATACTAAAAGAGATGTTTTTAAATTGCACTTAGACGTCACATATGCCAAGTCTTGTTTGGATGTGAAGACTAATTTGGAACTTTCGATTCTAGTTGTTTTTATTGTATGAGTTTAGGACTCGGAGATCGGTCATAAAAATCTTGAACTATGGTTTTAAAACCTAGCATTCTCCAAAGATTTAGGTACCACGTTTGGTTTGACAAAATCTTTTTAAGAGATTTATATTTAATGGAATAATTTGGAACCTCGGGTGGTGCATTTGATTTATAGAATTTGGAATGAAATTGAATTCAATTCTTTATAAAAGCAAACTGTAAAAAGAATTAAATTACCTTTTCATTAATCAATTATTATAAACCAGGTTTTTAAACATATATTGAAACATTATTACAAAATAAATCCTATAAAATCCCACAAAATACCAAATGAGAATTCTAAATCCTGTCTCGATTCTCGAAATCCAAACTTAGGTGAAAAATGATTTTATAACGTTATTTGTGACATGAATTATTCTTAAAAAAAAAAAACCAAAATTTTAAAAAAGAATATTATCACCCTGCTTCTTGAAGATCTGGAGCCAATATGTGGATGTGATGATGTCCAAAAGAGGTTTAAACTGCAACAATGCAAACAAAAGCAAGGTCATAGCAGCTAATGAAGACACAAGCCCAAGAACCCATCTCTTTTCATCTCCAAATACCAAATACAGAATGGCTGTAAATGCTATCATCATGCACATGATCGATACGAACAGCGTGATAAGGGCCAGCATCAATCTCTTCGGTAGCGAGTAGAGAAAATCTTCGATAGCATATCGTGCAGTCAGGATTCCCAAGAACAATAAGATGGAAGAAACCGACATGAAGAGAGCAAGAGCATCCGAAACAGCAAACACAACAAACACTGGGCGTTGGGAAAATACCGGCAACCCGGTATTGCTGTTGTTTCCGCCTGGTATGGTGATGGCGGAGGTAAACACGATTGTAGCAATGAGTGTTGCTACGATTAGCCCTGAGTTGGCTCTATCTTTCATCCATTGTTCTCCTTCTTTTGCTAACTGTTCATGTGTTTCATTGAATATCACCGCTGGTGTCTTGTTATTGATATTCCTTTTTACTTGATCTTGAGGGAATGATAGGCGTTCAACCTCCTATAATACAATTATTATCACAATTCATTATATATGAGTGGGGTTCAAATGAGACCAAATAAGAGAACATGAAAATGGCCAAATTACATGTGATTTTACACTGAAATCACATGTGATTATAGAGCACTTCTAAGTTTTAGGACCAACAAATATATTTTATATATAATGACATTAATGTAATGTCATTGTACAGGACTCAAAGTTTTTGGTCTTATGATACAAGTCTTACGGCCAAATTAGTAAAAGTGGGATCAAGTAGTGACATATACCTTGAACCATTGTAATTCGCGTTGCATTTGAAGGGCTGGACCACGACCAGTTGATCTTAGGTTGAGACCAGCTTCATTCTCAGTTTCTCCAGCCAAATGTGCAGCCAAATGCAAAGCAGTGTTCTGTGAGCTATCCGATGCTTGCAACACACGTCCGCGGAGGTTGGTGGTCTGATATATGAGGTTGAATACTTTAGCCCGACGGTTTGCAATTGCAATATGAAACACACCACGTCCCGATTTATTCTGTAAATAGATGGCATTTGGGAAAATTCAAATGAAAAACTGTAAATATATGATTTTGTACGTGAATCATATATGATATTGTACATTAACGACCTTTTTACTGGCACCTTAAATAGTTAGCGTTCTCGTTTGAATCTGCCCCTATGCATATTTATATTATATAAAGATACATTGCACAATGAAGAATACAGAACAATGATGAGTAGTTGAACATACCTAATTTTGCAGTGAGTTCCCAAAACAACCTGCTCAAGTTTGTCCTTGCATTCACACCTTGCCAAAGGATGTGATTTATAGGATTAGGGGAAACTTGAAAATAGTAAGTTTTTATCCGCATAAAACAAACCAAAAGGAGGGAAAAGATTAGATTGGTAGTAACAAAAACTAGAGGAAAACACAGTTGGGTTAATCAAGTATTAGGAATTTGGTTAGAAAACTTGAGTTCAAATACTGTACTCAATGGTGGCCACCCTAAGTAAGTTACAATGGACAATCCTCCATTGAAAAGATAACTTAAATTTAGATTAATTGCTACATAATAACGTGAGGATAATAGCTGTGCTTCTTACCTTTAACTATTTCCTCCCTAGGATTCTCAACATCACCAAATCCAATTCCACCGTAGTTCTTGAGCTCCTCATCAGGTAGATCTATGCGACATTAATTATAACACAAACCAGTCACATTATTCGCCTAAAATAAAGCACACATACTGACAAAGAGATGTGTTATTTGTTCCCAAATAATAATAACAATAATATGCTTACAGGAGTATATGAAGCTTTGCCATGAGTTTAACTTTGTGCCACTTAGGAACGATGAATGCATAAAAGTTTAAGATTTCTAGAGGTGTGACAGCCAAAAAGGGAAATCTATCAAGCAATTCGGAACACAAATCTGCACATAATAATTAAACAAATGAAAAATTCAAATACTGTCTTTTGTATGTTCAATGTAATCTCATGTTGGGCATATGTTAGACGAACAAGTCCAGTATAATTCCATAACTCACCAAAAAATCCGCCATATATGAGTCCARYCACAAGGAGARCARTTTGAGGGTCTYGARGAYAGCTTTSATTCGTGACATSTAACAGGTAGCGAACCACGKCATCATTGTCACAARAGTATGGAGCAMTAAAGAGGGGTATTWKATTATRCATATCCCTAATGTKAGGAAGATCAGGATTCTTTTCAACCATTAACTTCATCATCTCCACATCACCCGCCAAAATGGCTCCGGTAAGAGCAGTCTGTCCAAAGCTATCTTGCATAGCCAAATCTTCTGGGGACATCAGACTTATGAGCTTCTTCAAGAACTCCTGGTTACCTTCAATAGGAGATGCCACCATTAGTGCTGTTTCTGAGGCTCCTATCACGAGAGCACGCACCGCATTTGGGTTTTTCTTTAGTATCTCATCTAAGGTCTTCATGTCTCCTTTGACAGCAGCCTTGTGTAGCGGCAAATAAGGAAGATAATGTGATCTCATTTCTGCTTTGTTTGACCCTGTGTACATAACTCTTGTGGTTAAATGTATCCTTTAATTTAGACGAAAACAATAAAGAACGGTTCAATTTTTACATGGTTTAATGGTCCTTTTACCAATAGCTGAGGTGCATATACTTAAACAAGTTTGAATTCCAAGAGCAATGCAGGTTTGCATGCATATTATAATGTATATAAATGTGTGGGATCATTTCAGGACTCCATTTATTGTGATAACAGTGAGAACTTCTCATCTTAACCTATTGTTTCACATGATTTTTTCACATCTAAGGCTAGCATTTAATGTATTGATGAACATATAATGTTTCACATGTATGTGGTTCACGATGTGAAATTATTTTACGTGTAACTCTTGTTTTACAAACAGACTAAAAAGGTTCACATTGTGAAACAAGTACATGTGGAAAAAACACATCGTAAAACAAATATATGTTAATCGATATTCTACATCCTAGTCTAAGATGAAAAATCATATGAAATAACACGCGAGTCATTAGTCTCAAGGCTATCATAATTTCATTAGTTCTCAGAGTTATCATAATTTCATGAGTTCTAAAAAGAATGTCCCCCTATCCACATACATTAAAAAGAGCAAGGGAAGCTGGAGCATCTTACATCGATCGGTGTGAGTCATCTTCGCAGAAGGTTTTGCAAGCAAAACCGTTTTGTCAATTAAAGCCCACAAATCTTTAGCCGTCTTCGATGTGGTGATTAAACAAGAATTCTTTTTTAGGTAGTCGTCTCCTATTGCTGAGATGATCAAATCTCGCACAGTATTGTCTATCTCTTTCCACTCTGCGTAATCTGGATTACCTTCCGGTGGTGGCTCAATGCTGCCGTCAATGTAGCCAATGACGCCATTGTTTTTAAGTAACCCGTACATGAATATTTTCCAACCATCAGCATTGTACCCATCGAGTTTGAGGATGTAGTTAAAGTTTAAATCCATGTAAATTGGGTGTGGGTATTTACTGGAAGACGAGGCCATTGCCGTTTTTGGAAGTTTGGATGACACCAAGGTTGTTGAACCTGATATACACTATGAAACCTTTCCAACTATATATATCTATATATATATATATAGCATAGAGACTTCCTCCATGGATGTTAATGTAGAATATTTTCATTGAAGGGTTATCTAAATAATCAACAAATGCTCATTTTTTATAAAAACATGATTTAAAAAGATTCTGTTTTGTTCAAACAAGTTTTATTTATGTTAATGCAATTGCAGGTTAAATGTGACTACAACAAGAAGTGTTTATTATTCGTTATCAACAACCGTATGTACTTCTTATACGAAAATGTTATGATAAGTTTCTAGAACAAAGTTATGCAAAATAATCAGTTGACACTTTTCTAAGAAATATCATATAAGAAGATTAATACAAACTATTTACATCTTAAGTCATATTATATGGTCTAACTTCCTACTAATAACTTAGTATTTCATAAAGATATAATCTAACATTTTTGTATAAGACTCGTAATTGTTGACATTATAAACTTAAAAATCACATCAAATACACGATTTTTATGGGATAACAAAGAGGCCTCCTTCAACCATGAATCGCGTAAACACATTGTGGAGTAAATATAATTAAAAAAAAAACTATACTTTTCAATTCTGTTCCAAAATTGAACAGTGAAATTACGACATAAAGTGATGTATGCATAACTTGTTGTCCAAGGAATCTTTTTTAGAAGTTCACAACAGCAGATGGGTACTTCACACAAATGTGTAATCAATCGCCAAATACTTGAATCTAAGCAAGTTAAGGAATCAAGAGGAAGAATTATTATTATTTTAAACTAGTTGTGTATCCTTGTAATAAGGCGGCAACGATTTTGAAGTTTCACTGATTTTATTAGAGAATATTTAACGATAATATAAGTTACACTTGGTCTTTACATATTAATACAATTTGAATAATTATGAGTTATGGTTCCAATTACAGTCTATCGATGAAAAAAATTATATGACAGATTAAAATCCAATATATTTAAAATCTAACATATTTAAACGACTCCACAAATGTGTTCGATTTACACCAAGAGCAAAGAATCAAGAGATCAAGAGCGAGACCAAGAGTTCTAGAGCAATTGAATAAGAGATGAACGAGAAAACCTTTTAATAACTAGTGGTGAATATCAATATGAATCTCACCTTGGGGGATGGGGCGGAGACATAGATGTATGAGAGGGTGAAGACATTAGTGAAATGTGTCAAAAGTATCTTGGGAACATGAAAATAAAAGGTAATAATATGTATTGGTAACTTGCACTATATGTTATTTTAATCATAGGTTAAGAGATTTTAAGACTGAATGCATAAAGTAGTAATACTTAATACATTATGAGTTGTTTTTAAGATTTTTAAGACTTTGTGCATTAAAATTTATTTTTAATACTTTTGATAAATATGGTTTATAAGGTAGTATAGATTTTCTGAAAGTAATAAAGTAATGATGTCGTTTTCCGATATTTACAAAAAGAAAAAGCTATAGAATTTATGCATAATTTATGTTCCAAGTTTCCATTAAAACATCTTTTATCTCTTTCCTTTTTCACATTTTCCCACTTTATAAAGAGATACTTGAAACACGAGTGTAACAAAAGGTAACATGATAGTTTACTTCTTGATGAATTTGTTTATAGGGTTGTTCATTATATGTTTTGGAATTGTAAGCTTAAAAGTTCTGTTAAGTATTCTTGTATGACAATTATTGGATGACAGTTCAAAGCCCAACAAAAACCGAACCGATTCAATCCAATTATATCCCATCCAAGTATCACAATATAAGCTTAAAAGTTCTGTTAATTATATCCCATCTCGTAAATGCAACCCAACTCCTTACAGGCCTTGAATAACCAGCTAAGAATAATTATAGCAATAATAACGAGTAGAAGTTCTAAAGTGTTCCAAGTCGATTGATTGAATTTGTATGGTGACATTGTCTCAATATTAATAATTAATCGCATTTGAATTAGTTTTGACGCATATATTTAGGATTATTTTCGTCAAAACCTTTGTCTAAACCTTAAATTACAAGCCTTCAGCATAACACCGTTATGAGATGATATACTTGAACAAACAGGTGAATGTTCGAATTTGACAACCACAGTCCGCAGGATGTGAGTTACGATTCCTTTAGGAATTAGACTCCATGTGAGCACTCTCCTCTTGAATCAACCATCTAAGGGTTATTGTGTACCTGATTTGCCTCACATAATGCTCTTGGGACGAGACGGTGTGAGCCGCCAACTCAAGGATTTCCAGTTACAACCTTCTACACCAACCTCAATTACAAGGTTCAAGATTAAATCCTAATTTCCAAAGTATAAACTAATTATAAACATGGCCCAAGCCATAAGATTACTGCACTGTGATACAAATTTTCTGTAACTTTAATAAGTACTTCACTTTACCATCAAAATGTCAATTTGTTACAAATAAATCGTGACTGCAACAGAAAGTTCAAATTCCGAAGGTTTAATGATCATCGGCAAAAACTTAATTTGACTTCAAAATGAGAATTAATAAGAAATTCAATCAACTAATTGATTATAAAATGATAAATCTAATTAACAACAAGTTAATGGTTCAAATTCACAACATCAAGAATCCTACACCCTTTATAATCCCTTTATATAATAAAACCTGCAGACCAGCCACTAACTGCTTCTACCTCGCCCAGAGTTGGTGACTCAAGTCCAAAAACCGATTAGCCCAATACTGTTTATATAATTTTAGGGCCAGCCCAATATATCAAAAATTCAGTCCTAAGCCCAGATCCGTACTCATCATGAGTCATGATTAGGGGTGTAAATGATTCGAGTCGAGCTCGAGTATCACTATACTCGACTCGAACTCGAAACCGAATTTCCAAGCTCGAACTCGACTCGAAAACTCACGAGTAGTAAAAATCAGAGCTCGACTCGAACTCGATAACTATTTCTCAAGCTCGAACTCGAACTCGAGCTCGAACTAAGCTCGAATCAAGCTTGAACTACAACTCGAATCAAGCTCGAACTCGAATCAAGCTCGAACCAAACTCACTCATTGAAATTTATAAAACTTAGGGTCTTTCTCTTATAAATTTTAAAACTTAAAAGTGTTCTCTTAGTTTTTATAAAAATAAAGAGATCAACTTCAAACTTCATCATCAAAAAGACAAAGTTAGAAAATTGCATTCATCTTTCTCTCTTTTTATAACATCTTTTCTTTCTTCTTTTACCATCTATCTTCCAATGTGGGACAACTTCACTAACTTTTTTTATAGTTTTTCTTTGTCTTTTTTTAATTGTTTAAATATCTAAAAATATAAGGCATTTATATTATTTATATTTTACATATTTTATCATAAAACCTGATTATATACTTTAAAACTAATTATATATAAAATAATCGAGTATCTCACGAGCTTTTCGAGTCGAGTATTGGGTAGCTTGACTCGACTCGTTAATATGTCGAGTTGAGCTCGAGTTCGAGTCGAGCCTATTCGAGTCGAGTGTTGACCGAGTTTTGACCGAGTCGATCTCGAGTAGCTCGCGAGTTGTCTCGTATCGTTTACACCCCTAGTCATGATATCTCCTTCTCTACCCAAATAACCTGCTTCAAACCTTTCGTTTAAAACTTCGATTTACACCAGTCTTGTTCGATATTGTCGGTGATTTTTGGTTCATAATCTAAGCAACACTGTTCTTTGAAGATTTATCGAAGCAATTCGTCTCGACTAATGTTCCTATTCATAGCCGCATTTAGCGTGATTGTGGCCTCAATTTCTTTCGATTTCGTTCAATATTCTTCAAATTTCTCGTTCCTAACACATCTAACATTCTTATATATACCAATTGGGTTCACTTGTAGCTTAGACGCGCTGTATCGGTGAGTTACGCTTACCGTTCGTATCAACGCCGCCGCGCACAGCGTTTTTAGTGGTTGACGATGGACGTAAATAACATTATCATACGATTTTCAATACCAATTGACTCTCAACACCATCATAAATGAAGATACATTTGTATATGAAGATTAAACATTCGAATCTTACCTCAAATCATCGATTGGGTCTCGAACAAGATCCCGAGTTCCAACCTGGCTTCCGCTGCTACTACGCTATCGATTTCAGCATTTCCTTCTAGGGTTGGTTTGTAATATTTCATTCATTTCGACTGCTGTGATATTTTGAGTTGATTATCAAACAGATTTCGTTGCCTTTGATCCACCGAAAGTCACAGTCGCCAGATTTGTATCAAAAGCCCAGCGTGTTCTGCTTATCAAATTGGAATAATGACATGCCAAGCCCTCGAGTTTATGTGTCTTGCTATTTCTAACCCCCGTACTTCATACTTTTTAAAATGCTTTTTAACTATCATTTTAGTAACCGTAATTTGTTAAAAATTGTGATTTTGTTCCTATATTTTTAAAACTATAAAGGTTCTCGCATAATGCAAATGTTTTGTTTTATTCCGTCTCTGTAGATGTTTTAATACGGTTTTTATGTGRTTTTGAAAAAAAGATAATGTTTTTGTTTTTGAACAAAATATAAATTTGAAGATGTCATAAAATTTCAAAAATAAATATATCAATATTAGTATGAAATTAACTATTTAAAAGTTCTTGTTTTTTTGTATAATTTCTTTAATGGAATTTTTTAATTATAATTTAATTTAGATTTAATAACGAAGTAATTTGTTTTTGATTCAATAATATAATTTTTTATAAGAATTATAATTAAGTATTATGTTAGAAGTCAATGACTATCCTAATTATATTTTAGATTTTTTATATTTAAAATAAGATGTTTATCTTGTATTTGATCATGTTTATCTGCAGTTAGTTACACGAATTCATATATAAAGCTTTAATAAATTGTACTTACGCACAATCTACTTGTAATCTTGAATTTTAAGTAATATGCATCAATAAATAGTACTTTAAGCATATAAAATATTTTTAAGAGTTTTTGTCAAATGTTTTATAAT